ACATCATTCCTAATGGCCACATTCCTAATGGCCATATCATTCCTAATACTATGTAAATACACTAAATGTACTAAAATGTATTTAACTTGTTCCATATCATTGGACAACTAAGCTGTATGCTGCTTTGAATTATCCTGTGATGAATATTCTTGCATAAAGATTATATAGTTATCTCTGATTATTTTCTTAGTAAAATTCCACCCAAATTAATTCCTTGGTCAAAGGTTGTGAGTATTCTCAAAGTTTTTTATCCACACAGCCAAATTTCTTTCCTGAAAGATTTCAGAAAGTTGTATTTCATCTCTACAAGTTAATATCCATATTTTCTCTAATATGAAGTCTGTGATTTTTTTAAGACCCCGAATTGGTGGATAAAATGTTTATTAATTATTTTTATTTAATTATAAATTATAGGTTTAAACCTGTATTAGGTTTAATATAATAATTTCCATTTAAAGGATTAGAGTAAGGTTTATTCAGAACTGTAGAATGTGTCATGTAAGAAATAGCATAATAGTTGATACTAAATTTTTATAGATGTCACCTATTAAAGGGGACCTGAAAATTTATGACAGAAATTTAGGAAATTTAGGAAAGCCAAAGACCAACTAAGTGAATTAAGTGTACCTCAGGAAATGTGATCGATGCAAAAACAAAAAACAAAAAAACTGAGAACCTAATGTGTTGAATGACTTGTGATGAAAGACAGTTATGAATGGCTGACCTATTCTACCTAATAAATAGAGCTCAAAAAGCAATGAATTTTTAGTGTTTTCAGTACTATTCAGAAGAAGTGTTTCTAATCCTTTTGTAACTAAATTCCTGCACTGGTGATAGACATCTTAGGAAACAAGAGCCATCCTTAATTCTTTGGCTTCTGGATAAAGGTAACAAATTTATCATATGTATTTTTTCTTCCATCTCTCTACAGATTTCAGCAAAATAATCTTCTAGTAATAAATGGAAAGGGAAATCTTATAATAATAAATGGAAAGAAAGGGGAATAAGCAGATGTGATATTTCAATGAATTTTTTTTTAAATGAATTTTTAAGTGACAGAAAGTAGCAATGAGAAAAATATCTCTTAGGATACCCAGGAAAGGATTGCAATGGACGAGAGTGCTGATATTCCCGGCAGGGACACAAGGCCCCAAAGGAGCCAATTCTCAAAGAGAGGGAGAGGAAGAATCAGGGAAGAGTGCAGAATATAGGGGTATTAACCAAAATGAAAAAGTCTTTCTATAATACATCTAAGCTAGCCACTTCATATACATCCTTCTCTCTTCCCCATCTCAAGACTCAGACTTGTTCATTCTTCTCTAGAAAGAGATAGATTTAGGGCTATTTAATTGACTGTTAGCATCCCAGAGAAAAGTCCTCATTTTTGTTTGGACAAGTAGCATAAAGACAAGCTACCCATATAACTACATAGTAGGCTTTTCTGTTCCCCCGGGAGAGTGTAGTAGTGTGGACCCATATATACAAACGCAATAGCATAAGAAATTGATACTTGCTACTTAAAACAGGCAACCCTAAGGTATCAGATCTGATAAACCAGCAGCATAAAAGAGAAAAGCCAGTATAAGAAAAAACTGAATATAAAAAATAAAATACTGAATAACTGACTCCAGAAGAAATGTCATTCATTCAAGTTACAAAAAACAAACAAAAAATAAAGAGCTCATGGACATGAAACATGATTGCAAGAATAATAGAAACATTAATTATGAATTATTAATGTCCCAGGACATAGACTAGAAAGACAAAGAGATAGAAAATACTAAAAAAAAAAAAAAAAAAAAGGGATTAATTAGAGAGGTGTGGCATCCAATTAGAAAGAGTTTCATAAAAATGCTGGGGAGAAAATTAGGGGAATAGACAATTAAAGAAACTATACAAGAAAATTTCTCTGAGCTGAAGGGGGCATATACCTTCAAATTCAAAGGATCTCCTAAGTTTATTACAGAATTAATAAAAAAAATCTACATGCAGTAACATCCTTATAAAATTTAGGGATAGGAAGAATAATGATCTTAAAAAATTACCAGGAAGAAAATACCAGAAAAGGAACAGGAGTCAGACTGGTTGCAGACTTCTCATCAGCAATGTTAGATGATATGGAACAAAGAACTAATACCTTCAGCAATCAGGTATGAATGTAAAATGAAAATACTTTCTGACCTGCAAAGACCGAGAAAGCTTACTGCCAATTATTACATGATTTGGTAGATACTTGCATCTGTACAAAAAAATGTGAGAGTTGCTTTTGCTTCACATCCTCACCAAAACTTCTTGTCTTTTGTCTTTTTGATATAAGCCACCCTGACAGGTATGAGGTGATTTCTCACTGTGACTTTTATTTGCATTGTTATGATAAGTAGTGATGTTCAGCTTTTTTTCCATATACCTGATGGCCATTTGTCTGTCTTCATTGGAGATATGTCTATTTAGGTCTTTTGCTCATTTTTCAACTGGGTTGTTTGTTTTCATTTGCTTGCTACTTAATCGTTACATATTTTAGATATTAACCCCTTATCAGATTTATAGTTTGCAAACATTTCCTTCCATTCTGTAGGCTTTTTACTCTTACACAGTGTTAAACAATTACATACTTTGTAGATAGTAGAAATAAGGTCATGGGAGCTATTGTATAGCATGGTGACTGTAGTTAATGACAATGTGGTATCTCCTTGAAAAATACAAAAAGAGTGGATGTTAAATGTTCACACCACAAAGATAAAAACTGTATGAGGTAATACATTTGTTCATTAGCTATATTTAACTATTCCACAGTATATATACATTTTAAAACATTATGCTGTACACAATATATAATACATTTTTTAAAAAATGTGGTGTGAAAATCAGGAGGAGACAAAGCCATAGATATAGTGGAAAAATATCCATCATCCTACATAAATCCCAAGATGCCGATAGAACAATCCATCAATATTGAGAGAGAATGTGAGTGCACTCAAAGTAAAAATGTCTTCAAGGAGAAAAAAAAAAAAAAAAAGAACTCAACGTGGTACTAGTTATCTATTACTGCAAAACTAATCACCACTAACTCAGTAGCTTAAAACAGCACACCCTTACTACTACACAGAAATCCAGGAATAGTTTAACTGAATTCTCTGTCTCAGAGTCTCACTCAAGGTTGCAATCAAAATGTTGGGTGAGGGCTGGCGTCTTAGCTGACAGCTCAGTGCAGGAAGGATCTACTTCCAAGCTCACATGATTGTTGGCAGAATTTAGTTCCTTGAGGAATATTGTACCGAGGGCCTCAGTTACTAGTGGGCTGTTTGCTAAAGGCTTTGTTTAGTGCTTTGGCACTGGGACCTAAACAACATGGCAGCACGCTTCATAAAGTGTTCAAGACAAGAAGACAATAAAGAGAGTCTGTTAGCAAGATAGAAATTACAATGCTGTGTAATTTAGTCACGGCTATGACATCTTTGCCATATTCAATTGATTAGAAGCATATCACTAGGTAGGCCCACACTCAAGGGGAGGAGATAAACACATGGGCATACTACCAGGGCATGGGATTCATTGGATGCTATCAGAGTTTTCCTGCCATATAAGCAAAAGATAGAATGCCTAATGATGGAGATAGCAAAAAATTTGTAAGAAATTGGAAGTCTACGAAGGCAGTATTATTTAGAAGAGCTGATGAAGGATTAGATCAGAACACTCATTTAATATGAATGGTCTCCTTTTATGAGATATAAATGCAACCATAGCACATCATTTGGTGCTGTAGTGGATGATATTTACATAGTTATAATAATATAAATGTTATTTATGAATTTTTAACTTTATCTGGAAGACTTAACTATGGCTATAACTCAGAACTTACATGTTTTCAATCTTGACAATACACAAAGTGAAGGTATGGCTCTCTGAAGTTTGGGCAGAGTAAGAGGGATGGGGGGGGAAAGAGAAGTTGAGTCTAAATTTGGTGGAACAAGAAATGTTGACTTAAGTAAACACTTAAAAGCAGAAAAGTGACTAACAGAACTAAAATCATCAAAATTTGGGGAAAGGAGGAGATAATAGTGAAGATAATGAAATCAAGGTAAAACTTCATCTAAGTAGACAGCCAAAAGATTTTTTTTTTCTTTTGAGATGGAGTTTCACTGTTGTTGCCCAGGCTGGAGTGCAATGGGGCCATCTCAGCTCACTGCAGTCTCTGCCTTCCAGGTTCAAGCGATTCTCCTGCCTCAGCCTCCCGAGTAGCTGGGATTGCAGGCATGTGCCACCAGGCCCAGCTAATTTTGTATTTTTAGCAGAGACAGGGATTCACCACGTTGCTCAGGCTGGTCTTGAACTCCTGACCTTAGGTGATCCGCTTGCCTCAACCTCCCAAAGTTCTGTAATTATAAGCATGAGCCACCACCCGTGGCCCCAAAATATATCTTAAATTGAAAAAAAAACCATTAACATAGATGCATAAGCAAGTAGCATATTATTTAGAGGCACAGAAGTATGCACCACCAGAAGGGTTACAACTAAACATGGTGGTTGGCAAACTAAGGTAAGAAACCTCTGCTTGTTATTACATATCCTCCTATACTTATACTCTGCTATTGTAATATTATTTTTCTCACATTCATATAGAAATATAGTTTATAAAATCTCTTTATTTGTACAGCAGTCTCAAAATTACCTGTGAACTGCGTGTGGTGGCTCACGTTTGTAAACACAGCACTATGGGAGGCCAAGGCAGGTGGATCATCTGAGGTCAGGAGTTCGAGACCAGCTGGCCAACATGATGAAACCCCATCTCTACTAAAATACAAAAATTAGCTGGGCACGGTGAGGCACGCCTGTAATTCCAGCGACTTGGGAGGCTGAGACATGAGAATCGCTTGAACGCAGGAGGTAGAAGTTGTAGTGAGCCGAGAGTGTGCTACAGCATTCCAGCCTGGACAACAGAGTGAGACTCTGTCTCAAAAAAATAAAAATTAAAAAAAGTTACCTGTTGATCTGCTTAGGGAAAAACATGAACTAAAAAGACATGACAATCTGATCTACTGGAAGATTATATTAATCACTGAAAGTTAATTATTAGTAAAATCAGTGATTATATTAATCATTTCTACTCTCAACCCAGATAAGTTTAGTAGAGTTACCAGAACAAGAGCACCCCTACCAAAAGAATGAAATTGAGCTGCTTGACACACACAGTTAGGACCAGATCTTCACTCCAGTGGCTACTCTAAGATGCAGAGACTCTGAGGTCAGGTTGAGCCTCAACACCTTTCTCTTCCTTTTCCAACTGTGATCCTCCCTTTTTGCAAGTGACACAGACCATGTCTTATGGCCACTAGAAATAGGACAGAAGTGACTGAATTTGTCTTACTGGGCTTGTCCAGCTGGCCAGGGATGCAGCCAGTTATTTTTGGTATTATCCTTGTCATGTACCTGGTTGCAGTTATGGGCAATGCCCTTTTAGTCACTGTTGCTCGATCAGACCCCAAGCTTCAGACTCCCATGTATTTCCTGCTCAGCCAGCTTTCCTTTATTGACATTTTTCTGACAACCATCACTGTTCCTCAGATGCTGGTGCACACACTGTCTGTGAATCAGACTATCTCCTTTAACTGCTGCATAATCCAGCTATTCTTCTTCATGGCTGTGGGCAGCATGGAAGGCCACTTGCTGGCTGCCATGGCATATGATCGCTATGTTGCCATCTGTGATCCCTTAAGATACTCTGCCATCGTCAGCCATCGCCTCTGTCTGCGCATAACATTGACCTCATGGGTGGTTGTCAGCCTCAACAGCCTCCTTTACAGTGTGTTGGTAAGTCGCTTAACTTTCTGCGGCAACCAGGTCACCCACTTCTTCTGTGATATTACTCCCCTGCTGCAGCTCTCCTGTACCCGACCAGTGGTCAATGAAATGCTGATATTCACTGAGGGTGTAGCTGTGGTGGTCAGCCCCTTCTTCTTCATTTTGGGTTCTTATGCCTGCATTGGTGTTGCAATGGCCCACATGCACTCAGTTGCTGCCCTGCGCAAAGCTCTGTCCACTTGTGGCTCCCACATCCTGGTTGTGCTGCTCCTGTATGGCTCTGTGATCCACATGTACCTCCGACCATCCTCCAGCTACAACTTGTACCAGGATCGCCAAGTAGCCGTCTTCTATACAGTAGTTACCCCTATGCTAAATCCACTAATCTACAGCCTCAGGAACCAGGAGGTTAAAGGAGCTCTTCTAAGGCTTTTTAGGAAGCTCTGCATCTCAGAAAACTTTCAACCTTGTTCCCAGGCAAGCAGGGAATGGCGGCACATCTCCTAATGTCTAGGAGTTAAGATCTAGCCTGAAAATGCCTCAAATAGATGGGGTATTACCCTTAAAAATTGATGTGAGTCACATTTCTGGTTAAATCCCTTTCGGTTGGATTTGGGGAAGAAGCAAGATAAATGGTTCAGCTTCCTGCTGTCTGATGTAGAATCTCGTAACATCAAAACTGAATGTGTGTGTGTATGTATGTGTGTATATATATACATATATATATATGTGTATATATATATATATATATATATGTAAAATTGTACTTTAGGTTCTGGGGCACATGTGCAACAATCATGCAGGATTGTTGTATAGATACACACATGGCAATGTGGTTTTCTGCCTCCATTCCCCCATCACCTACATCTGGCATTTCTCCCCATGTTGTCCCTCCCCGACCTCCGCAATCCCCCGCTGTCCCTCCCTTGGCCCCCTCAACAGATCCCAGTGTTTGATGCACCCCTCCCTGTGTCCATGTGTTCTCATTGTTCAACACCCACCTATGAGTGAGAACATGCGGTGTTTGATTTTCTGTTCTTGTGTTAGTTTACTGAGAATGATGGTTTCCAGATTCATCCATGTCCCTACAAAGGACACAAACTCATTATTACTGAAAAGTTATTTTTAAATCACCAAGCCTAAACCTCTAATCTTTAGGTCCAATATGGAGCATGGATGACTACTAAGCAAAATGATAAGAAATCATTACGGTTTGCTTAGCTTTGATCATTTTAGTAATGGCAGGGCATGCACTATCTTCCAGAGAGAAGTCAAAGTGAGTTACAATACCGTTACACAGATGAGTGAGTTCTGAATAAATCATGGAATAGCCTAAGCCTCTCTTAAAATTATAATGTTTTTAGTCTTGTATTTCACCAATGTCTTACTCACAGTAATAGTAATCAGCTCAATATTTCTAGTGACTGAATTATTTCATCTGTATCTTTTTGTCATCCCAGGAAAGATAGCATAGGTTACTAATAATAGAGACTGAAGAAGAGTCTGCACAGTGGCGCTAATATGAGGAGCAGGTAGTCAGATTAGAGTTGCATAGGAGGTCAAACTGTTTGAATGTACTGATGTTTTAGACATAATGTGTAAGGGGAAAAGAATAATCAATGCATTGTGAAAACATGTGGAATCATGTTTTTATGCCATTTCTTTATATATGGAAGACTGTGGATGGTAGAGAATGTACAGATTTGGTTGAGGGGAAAATTTAATAACTCTCTGTTGGCCATGTTAATTTTTTGATATGTATTAGATATCTAAATGGAAATGTTTTCTAGATAGTTCAACACAATCCTTGAGGCTCATGGAGAGGCCCTGTCAGAATATAGAAATGTCAGAGGCAGCAAAAGGTTGACAGTCCTTGAAGCCATGGAACTGGATAAAATCAGCTAGTAAGGGAATATAGAAAAGAGAAGAAAACTATAGGCAGAGCCCTGAGATGAGTAAGCATGCCAACATTCAGAGATCTAGAAGAGGAGATAGCAAAGAAAACTTGAGATGTATCCAATGGTAGGAAGAAAGAAGGTAAGTCTGGCAAGTCTGAATTCTAAAAAAGAGTATTTCCAGGGTGGAGGACTGGTCATTCTATCACGTATAGTTGCAAGGTCATTAATGAGAACAGATAATTAATTAGTAGGTTTGGCAAAATGTAAATTATGGAAACTTTGATAAGAACAGTTAAGTATTAGGAGAAATACTGCAATTATAGTCATTTTGTGATAAAATTGCAAAAGAGGAAGTAGTGGTTGTGATAATAGACACTTTTTAAAAATAATACTTTAAGTTCTGGGATACATGTACAGAATGTGTAGATTTGTTACATAGGTATACATGTGCCATGGTGATTTTCTGCATCCATCAATCTGTCATCTACATTAGGTGTTTTTCCTAATGCTATTTCTCTCCTAGTCCCCCAAGCCCCATAGGGCCCCGGTGTGTGATGTTCCCCTCCCTGTGTTGTCATTGTTCAACTCCCACTTATGAGTGAGAACATGCAGTGTTTGGTTTTCTGTTCTTGTGTTAGTTTGCTGAAAATGATGGTTTCCAGCTTCCTCCATCCCTGCAAAGGACATTAACTCATCCCTTTTTATGGCTGCATAGTATTCCCCAGCGTATATGTGCCACATTTTCTTTATCCAGTCTATTATTGTTGGGCATTTGGGTTGGTTCCAAGTCTTTGCTATTGTGAATAGTGCTGCAATAAACATACATGTGCATGTGTCTTTATAGTGGAATGATTTATAATCCTTTGGCTATATATCCAGTAATGGGCTTGGATTCGACATACATAAATCCCTGGGTTCAACATACATAATAGATGTTATCCATCACATAAACAGAATCAATGACAAAAACCACATGATTATCTCAATAGATGCAGAAAAAGCCTTCAATAAAATTCAACACCCCTTATGCTAAAATCACTCAATAAACTAGGTATTGATGGAATGTATCTCAAAATAATAAGAGCTATTTATGACAAACCCACAATATCATACTTAATGGGAAAAAGCTGGAAGCATTCCCTTTGAAAACCAACACAACACAAGGATGCCCTCTCTTAGCACTCCTATTCAACATAGTATTGGAAGTTCTGGCCAGGGCAATCAGGCAAGAGAAAGATAAAAGGTATTCATATAGGAAGAGAGGAAGTCAAATTATCTCTGTTTGTAGATAACATGATTGTATATTTAGAAAACCCCATTGTCTGAGCCCCAAAACTCCTTAAGCTGATAGGCAACTTCAGCAAAGTCTCAGGATACAAAATCAATGTGCAAAAATCACAAGCATTCCTATACACTAATAATAGACAAACAGAGAGCCCAATCTTGAGTGAACTCCCATTCACAATTGCTACAAAGAGAATAAAATACCTAGGAATCCATCTTACAAGGGATGTGAAGGACCTCTTCAAAGACAGCTACAAACCACTGCTCAAGGAAAATAAGAGAGGACACAAACAAACGGAAAAACATTACATCCTCATGGATAGGAAGGATCAAAATCATGAAAATGGCCATACTGCCCAAGGTAATTTATAAATTCAATGCTATTCCCATCAAACTACCATTGACTTGCTTCATAGAATTAGAAAAAAATACTTTAAATTTCATATGGAATGAAAAAAGAACCCATAAAGCCAAGACAATCCGAAGCAAAAAGAACAAAGCTGGAGGCATCACGCTATCTGACTTCAAACTATACTACAATGCTACAGTAACCAAAACAGCATGGTACTGGTACCAAAACAGATATATAGACTAATGAAACAGAACAGATGCCTCAGAAATAACACCACATATCTACTACCATCTGATCTTTGACAAACCTGACAAAAACAAGCAATGGGGAAAGGATTCCCTATTTAATGAATGGTGTTGGGAAAACTGGCTAGCCATATGCAGAACACCAAAACTGGATCCCTTCTTTACACCTTATACAAAAATTAACTTTAGATGGATTAAAGACTTAAACTTAAGACCTAAACCCATAAAAATCCTAGAAGAATCTCTGGGACACAGCAACAGCATTCAGGACATAGGCATGTTTAAAGAGTTCATAACTAAAACACCAAAAGCAATGGCAAGAAAAGCCAAAATTGACAAATGGGATCTAATTAAAATAAAGAGCTTCTGCCCAGCCAAAGAAACTATCATGAGAGTGAACAGGCAGCCTACAGAATAGGAGAAAATTTTTGCAATCTCTCCATCTGACAAAGGACTAATATCCAGAATCTACTAGCAACCTAAACAAGTGTACAAGAAGAAAACAAAGAACCCCATCAAAAAGTGGGCAAAGGATACAAATAGACACTTTTCAAAAGAAGGCATTTACGCGGCCAAGAAACATATTTTAAAAAGCTCATAATCACTGGTCATTAGAGAAATGCAAATTAAAACCACAATGAGATACCATCTCATGCCAGTTAGAATGGTGATCATTAAAATGTCAGGAGACAAGATGCTGGATAGGATGTGGAGAAATAGGAATGCTTTTCGACTGTTGGTGGGAGTGTAAATTAGCTCAACCATTGTGGGAGAAGACAGTGTGGCAATTCCCCAAGGATCTAGAAATAGAAATACCATTGGATCCAGCAATCCTATTACTGGGTATATATCCAAAGGATTATAAATCATTCTACTATAAAGACACATGCACACGTATGTTTATTGCAGCACTATTCACAATAGCAAAGACTTGGAACCAACCCAAATGCCCAACAATGATAGACTGGATAAAGAAAATGTGACATATGTACACCATGGAATGCTATGTAGCCATAAAAAAGATGAGTTCATGTCCTTTGTAGGGACCTGAATGAAGCTGGAAACCATCATTTTCAGCAAACTAACACAGGAACAGAAAACCAAACACAGCATGTCCTCACTCATAAGTGGAAGTTGAACAATGAGAACATATGGGAACAAGGAGGGGAACATCACACATGGGGGCCTGTTGGTGGCAGTGAGGGACAAGAGGAGGGATAGCATTAGGAGAAATACCTAATATAGATGACGAGTTGATGTGTCCAGCAAACCACCATGGCACATGTACACCTATGTAACAAACCTGCATATTCTGCATATGTATCTGAGAACTTAAAGTATAATAATAATAATGAAAAGTAAAAAGTTGTCACTACAAAATTTTATTGGCTGGATTCTTATATCAGCTCTATCTAGCAACAGTAATCTTGTTCCAGGAAGTCTTGTGAGAAAGGCTAAGAAGACTTTAGTTCCAGGTAACAACTATTTACTGAATTTGCCAAATTAGTGGCCAGCATAAATTATGAGATGCTATCAACTTGTTGATGTCACCAATTTTATACTACTCCTTCTAAGGCCAACATGGTGGCTCATGCCTGTAATCCCAGCACTTTGGGAGGCTGAGGTGGATGGAAAAAAAAATAAAAAATAAAATGTGTTATATACACATGATGGAATATTCTTCATCTTTAAGAATGAAGGAAATTTTGTGATATGTGATAACATTGATAT